GAGTAAAGTATTATTAGTAAATAAATATATAATTGCAGTATATAGATTTTCATGTGGGAAAGTAACGTGGTATTATCAGCGATAATAACATAATGTTATTCAAACCTTTGTGGCGCATCATAAACTTCTATGTCGGCGAAAATTCAATTAAAGACATTCGTTTGAGATTATTAAAAATATCTCCACCAAAATTCACACAGCCTAGGTGCTTTTCACAAAAGTTTACTCTTTTCTTTCTTTCCCTCTCCCCTCCCCTCTTTCTCACGAAGCTGCTGGATATCAACGTCACTCGTCTTGCATAATGATAACGAGCGAGGAAGGAAGCACGAATAATTTTTGAAGTAAGCAACGCCACGCAATCTCCGGCACGGGCTTTTCACGCAGGTCCCTCCCCTCATCACCCCTGGAGGATTTAAAGCGAAAGTTAATTAGAAGAACGTCCACCGACTGCTTTCCCAACCGGATTCGCCACGCTTTTTCGTCCCACGCGCAGACCGCGAGGCGCAACAGAAACGGGAGAAGAAGAAGAAGAGCGAAAGGACTCGACCGGCAGGAATGGAGCCGGTCCTGCCGTTCGTCTTGCCTCATCAAAATACGCGCCAGTCAGCCCGATAACCCGCCACGATACGTGACTATTACATATAAGCGAGAACAAGCAGAGGCCGTTGTTCGCTTCCCACGTGGATTAAACGCAAATCAGGACGCGCGGCCGTTATCGGAACGTCCCTGCGAGCGGACAGACGGACGGACGGACGAACGGACGGACGGATCTCATCTCGATCGTCAACGAGATGCTCCGATATTAACTCTATGCGTCAGCAGAGATCCTTAATCGCCGCTGCCAAAGAGACTGATAGCGTCTCTAATAAAACGCCGGTCGTAAATCGTCTGTCGTTTGCATTCGCGATTCTCTCTCTTTCCTCTTTCTCACTCCAGCTCTCCCTCACCTCCGCCCCCCCACATATCCCCCTCTCTTTCTCTCTCTCTCTCTCTCTCTCTCTCTCTCTTGCTCTCTCTTCGTTGAAATTCTCCTCGACGATTCCCGGCCTTAATATCGCGCGACCGATCGATACTTTTACTCGAACGTAGAAGCCGCTCGCACGTTATCAGTGTGCGAACAGAATACGAGAAAGAGAGAGGAGAAGGCGCTGATAAGAAGACGAGGCGACGCGCGCGATTAATTCTTACGATCGTCCCTCGTCACGTTCCGCTCTGGAGAATTTCTCGTACGAAGGCGTACGCGACCAGTCGGGAGGCAAGAAAATTTTTTAGTTTCCTCTCTCTCTCTCTCTCTCTCTCTTTCTTTCTCTTTCTCGCTCTCTCGACAGGGCGCTAAAGAGACGTAAACGACGCTGTTCCGCTATCGGTCTCTCGTCTGCGTCCCTATGTGGATATTAATCCGTCTAACGTGACATAAAACGGAACCACTTTCGCGTTTATGGCGGAAACGTAAGCGGGACGGCGAGGGGCCGGCAGAATGTAACGGGGAAATTGTAGCTTCAGCGAAGTCGAACGTCGTCACGGCCAATTGCGCGCAATAGCAAAGTATTATCATCCCAATTAACGGTGCCACTTCCTAATCGAAGGCGTTCGACGATATAAACGCGCTGGAGATCCATCGGAGATCTCATTATCGGGGGACGTCATTTCAATAATAAGCGACCTATCTGTAAGATGGAGTAAAAATTGAGAGTAAAAATACATCCTGCGAGCTCTTCCTTTCACCGCCGTCAGAGCCGTGTCTCCCGAGGCAACTCTGGCTTGAGCGACGTAAAAATAATTATTTAAGAGCGGGAAACATAACGGATTAGCGTAATTCACAGACGAGTCTTTAGTGTCAAAAACGAGATGTTGTATATCGGCGAAACGACAATTTTCACGTCTTTATTTCATCATCCTTCTTTCATACGCGCGCGCGCGCACAACTGCGTGATTCGATCGAGTGAGATACGAGCGAATTTCCATTGAATCGGGAAAACGAAAATTGATCTACGGCAAAACTCGCACGAATTTTCTCAAGTCCGTGAAAACTCGACTCGAGGGAATTACCTCGTCTCGGTTGGAGCTGGCTGCCATATTTCAGTCGTACTTCTCACTCTCGCTTGGCCCAAACTACGCAACGGTATAATCCATGGCGTCACGTGGGCAACGTATGATGGTTCTATTATAGGTGATCGATCAAAACTTGTGCCGTTATGTTTCTGTTATGGCAAATTATCGGGAAAATACATGTCACATTAGATAACTCGACCTTTATTGCTTTTTCTTTTTTTCGTTCGTAAAGTGTAGAACGCTCCTTGTCGTTTTAAACTGTCTTGTAGGCGTTGATTTTGAAATATCCAATTTTTCTACTGTCTCGCGCACCTGCCTCTATCTGTTTTGCTCAACAAAAACTACAGGAAACTACAGAAAACTAACTGTGAACCATGTTCATAACTCTTGATCAGTCTCTGTACTTTTTTCACCCAAATGAACATTTCCTCATTAAAATTTCTTAAACTATTTTCCAATCCGACGTAACACTTCCCCACTTATACTGAGGAGAAAGTATTTGGTGTGTGTATGTGTGTGTGTGTGTGTGTGACTATAATTGCATAGCGAAATAAGTACAGTCAGGGGAATAATTTTTCTGGCAAGCGTTATTATAATGTTAGCGATGTGAGTGTATAATGATGATGATAATGATGATAACAGCAATACACACATAAGATCGTTATCATATTTCATTATCATTATCATTAAGATACCGCTATAATAATACTTATTACAAAAAGTAAAGAAATATAATTGTCGTTAAAAATTGTTGTAATATTTTAATTTCTTCTCTCAATGTATAGACGATAAAAATGATTTTTGTAGATGAAAGATACAAATTCTTCTTTAAAACTTTCGCAACACAAGATGCAAGAAGAATGAATTTCGCTCATGCTCATAATATTTCACTCAAAACAATCAGAATAAATATTCGCACGAAAAGGCGTCAGATACAATTTACCTAAGAGTCAACTATGTCAATTCAGGTATAAATCGAATGTTCTTCACTTCGATAAAACAGCGATAAAGTCGCGGTATCCGAAGCGGCACGGATTTCCCGGACGTTAGCTAACCCGGAAATAATGATTGTACATAATTATGTAAAATTTTGTATAATAAAAAAAAGCAAATTAAGTATAATTATATATAGTCCACATATAAATTTTGTTTCTATATGATCATATATATAATTATAAATATCGCGAAAGAAAGATAATTTTGAACAGGAGAGAAGGAGAAATAGCTTAATTCAATCAGAGACCAACACTATGGGCTGTCACAAATATTAGTGTTTACTCTTCCATTGTACTGTACAGCAGCATGTTTCTTTTGGACGCAGACATAAATATAATTATGCGTGATTACGGTCGTATTCTAGCAAGGACGCAATATTACACAGAGCTATTTTATTGGGTTCATATCATCTTCAATGATATCTTAAATATATAGGCGATAAAAGGGTTTTATGTATAATGTAGCGTGCCTTTGCTAGAAAACGGCCCATATACAGGGTGTAAAAAAGTCCTAAGACGACAAAATATCTTAGAGAATATAAGTTTTATAAAAACATATTTTAGAGACAAAAGTTATAGAGATTAAAATGATTCTACTTACTAATTTCATCAGTTTGACCAGTTTGAGGTTGTATCACCAAGGTCAAGTCAAGGTCATCTTAAACTTTTAAATAGAATTCCCTAGTTTTTATCGCTTATTTTTATGGCCCTTTTTGAGACTTTTTTAAAAAGTGACCTTTTTATAATTTTATAAAAGATCTTTTTATAATTTCATCCATTTTGAATCAGCTGTTTCGAAGTTATTCGTACTTCTTACGATAAAATGTCGGCGACTGCAGTTTTGCTTAAGATGAAATAAGAACAAATGTCTCTTATTATTTTTGAGAGATATCACTATTATATTATACCCATATGTCGAGGATCGAGGGTGTGTGTTGGAATGGATAAACGGGAAGTAAGATACAGTGGAAGTAGGAAGGAATGAGATGAAGGTGATTGAGTGGTAAGAGTTAAGAATGCGTGAGTATACCAGTCATTTAAGAACTTTTAAAAGCATTACATTGGTTTTTACTGAGTACGAATCAACTGTTTAAATATAAAAATGATTTCAAATCAATTGGCCGCCAACATTAACGTTACCCGATGTGCACTGCGAGGAAGCTACTTGGTCAGACTTTGTATCATGTAACCCATATATCGAAAGCTTGAAAGAGCAATCACCCCTTTTTATCATTTACTACCTCCTTTTCCATACGCAAATATAATACAATAATGGTATCTGTACTTATTTTGAATAAAGCTACAGTCGTCGATACTTTACCATAAGAAAGTCGCTATTTTAAAATAATATTTTAATAAAGTATTGAAAGGGACTGTAAGAATATATGATAAAAAATATAAATTCTTTTTAAAAAATAGATGTGACCTTGATTTGACCTTAGCGACGCCATTTGAAATCAAACTGATAAGGACAATAAATAGACTTCCTTAAATCCTATAACTTTTGTCTGAAACGTTTTTTATAAAACTTACATTTTCCGGGATATTCCGGGATATATCATCTTGGAACTTGTCAAACATACTATATATATATATATATATATATAATCAGAGTTTAGATTATTTCAAAATTAGCTAGATAAAAATAAGATGAAATATGCAAGTTCTTCTTGGCACTTTGTCCTGATTATAGATCACCAATTATAAAATTCTAATCTCAATCTTGATGCTATCTAATACATGCTGTGTTAACATCTATGAAACCAAATTTTTTCAATATTTCACATTTGCAAAAATGTAGACTATATTATATGCAAACATCATCTAGACAATTTTGCAAAAATAATTTTTTTTTATTTAAAATGCACATGAAAATAATATATATTTATATTATTTATTTAACGAGAGAGAGAAAAAAAGAGAGAGAAAGAAAAAGAGAGAGAGAGAGAGAGAGAAAGAGAGAGAGAGAGAGAAATAAGTTGATACCAGAACTTTATCTGGATGATCATCTATACAATTTTTATCTGGATAACAGCAAACACTGTATACAACCATGTGGAGACAAAGTTCATGTACAAATTATCTTTTCTCTGAAATCGAAACAGAAACAAGCACGGTCAGTCGATAGAACGAAACCCAGCCTGAGACGAGGATTAATGCGTGCAAATTACAACGATGATTCCTGGGCGTCGTCGGCAACCCTCGAGAATGTAACATAAAATGCAACGTCGCGATTATACGCGATCGACACCGATGTTAATTCCGGCACGCGATACCAATCTGTCCCGAGCAGCGGTCAATGTCCGAGATCGCGATCACCGTAACGATCGCGAGCGTCGCGAAACTATCGTCTCCTCCGTGGCACGTCCATCCAGGCTCAGCGCTTACGCTTGTGGCCGTCGCCCTTCTCGTAGTTCCACTTCTTCCCGTGTTCGTGGTTGCCCTTATCACCGTAGTGGTGACCGTGTTCGTAATGATGGTTGTGGCCCTCATCGACTTTATGGCCCTTGTGCTCATGATGGTGGCCGCCCTTCTCGTATTTATGCTCCTTGCCATGCTTCTCTTCGTGATGCTCGGCGTCGTGATGAGCCTTCTTCTCGTGGCCGCCCTTCTTCTTCTCGTGCTCGTGGTGATGCTCTCCGTGCTTCTCTGTGCCGCCGTCCTCGTGGAACTCGTCGAAGAACTCCGTCTTCTTCTCGTACTCGTCCTACGGCGAGACGTCGAGGGTGCAATTGAGAGTCTTTTATTCCGCGGAAAGGAGGATATTAAAAAAAAGTCTTTCTTGTCCCGTGAACGGCGTGTGAGAAGGTTATGAGGTTTTGATCCGCGTTTGAATCAAATTTTATTCATAAAAACATCTCCAATACGTTTTGGGAGAACATCGAAATTTATCGAACAGGCGGAAGTGCCAGGAATGTTCATAATTATGTTCCGAAATATACGATAACATCGCATTGAGGAATCTAACAGAGATCATTTAAAAAAGTAGAGGGAAATGAAAAAATGCAATAAATCTTATCCGTCTCGTAACAGGGAACGTGAGAAAATTTATTCGCTATTCTGGGAAATTATCGTGCAAATAAATTCAGTAAAACATAATAATAATTTCGATAGTGACAACGGCAAATATTTTTTAATGTGTCGAAAATATCAATGAGAGATACTCCTCTGGCTTTATCAGCAGCTATTTTTAATGCGAGGTTTGATAATAATTAATTAATCAGTTAAAAATTAAGTTGAAAAATTAAGAGATTCATAACTTTCAACTTAATTTCAACTTTAACATAAACTCATATTAAAATGTATTGACGTTAACTTATTAAAATAATTCAGTAATATTAAAATCTCTAAGAGTAATAATGTTTTTTTCTTATATGTCGCATTTTTCTTATAATCGCAAGCATAAAACAGTTGACATTTTCTTATGAAAATTTACCCTTCTTTATTAATTCATATTTTAATTTCAATTAAATTTGAATGAATTGCACGGAAAATATATAACTCTTGCTTCATATAATCAACTTTTAACTTCAATACAAGTCAAGTTAATTTAATTTTAACCAAATTTTTAATTTTAAATTAGGTTTTTTTAGGTAACTTTTAACTTAATCGAGTTAATCTTATAAACCCTTAAAAAGTAAACATACTCAGCTCTATTGTAATGTAAAGTATGTAATGTAATGTAATGTAAAGTATGTAATGTAATGTAATGTAAAGTATGTAATGTAATGTATTTATTGCTCCCAGTCGGTGTTTCTATATATTTGCAATGATAAAAGGAAACTATGGAATATCAATACAACTGACTCTCTGTTTATATCGTTCATCATATTTGGCTCATACATTTATTCTTACTTGTTGCGTTCTTTGCTATCAAGGTCGAATGCTTTCTGATGTATTATTCACAGTGCAGTTTCTCCCGAGCAGTTCTTTCGAATGCTGAATATTTGATCGTTGGACGTCGCTTTCGCGTCACGATGATTATTTGATATTTCGAGCTTATGCTCTACTTGATATTTTCAGCAATTATCATCAGCAATCATCAGCAATTTCATATATTTTAGATAATAAAGGCAGAGTAATTCTAAGGAAGATTGAAATAAATTCTAAATTGTATATTGTATAAATTTTTTCATTCTTTCACATCCTTTAGCGATTAAAAAAATGTTTTTTCTTTCCTTCGATACAATTATGAGCGTTGCTAATATTCGAAACTTTTCGATTAACGTCGCATGATGTTTCTCCAGTACGCTGGAAATTTTTCAAGTAATTCAATTTCTCAGTATGTTGGGAATGAGCAAAACTGAATCAAAGCAAATTGAAGGGTTTGGGAGAACGTGATTTTCCAACACATCTCTCGCGGAACAAACATAAATATTTTTCTAATTCCCTTCTTTTTTCAGTCATTCACGGCGTCTTACCTTCTTGTGCACCGAGTGCTCGCCCTTCGTGCTGTGTCCTTTCTGGTGTTCTCCTTTTTCCTCGAAATTCGCCGCTTTCTCCCCCTTTTCGCCGTGACCATGATGCTCATGGTACCCACCTTCCTCCTCGTGTTTCTTCTCTTTGCCTTCTTTTTCATCGTACTTCTTGCTAGAGTGTTCCTTGTCATGATGTCCTTTCGCTGCTTTCTCATTCTCGTGCCAAACTTTATAACCCTGCAACGAAAGCATCAAAACAAGATTCGCCGGCATTTCGTCCTCCAACTCGTCACAAATATCAGGAGTATATACGTAAGATAAAGCCGACGTCCGCACACGCGACGAATAACTCACTTTTGAACTTTTGAAAAGTGAAAAGACACATAGGAGCCAACGCTAATAAATTTTTTCTCGTCATTAAAGTTTTGCGCGAGCGAAATTTTAATGACAAGATAAAATCGCTGCTTTATACGCAAAATGTTTACATACTTTTTCAGTCGGAATATTCAAACTCTCTTCAAAACAGTGACAAACAAATAAATAACTCAAATTGATAAACTCTCATAACTTAAATATATGGCCCTGATTTTTACTCGCGGACTATACGAACATATTCGAACATTGTGACAATTTATTAGTCATGTGTGATTAAATTATTAATCTGTCTTCAGATAGCACAATGACATCCTCCGGAAGTCCTCAGGACGGACATTGTGGATATTCTGTGGATATCCGAATTTTATCTCAGGATATACTTTGGACGTTCCGAGAAAGAGAAAATGAATAGCTGAATATTAGCCTTCATGATATCCTGTTCGATGTCCTGAAGATTTCTACAAGAGATGTTATAGATATTTCTTAGACGTCTAAAAAAAAGGAAAAAAAACATAGCGTATTAAATTTGCAGACTCTGAATTGTATCCAGTTATATTCTTTTTTCGGTTTGAACTATAAATATAAGAAAACAAGCATTTGAGTCAGTCCGGAGTTGAGTAGAGTTGAATCAATCGGAGTTGGCAAATTGAATACACTAATAGTTCAATTTCATTTTCAGAAGTAAAATGTTTTTTAATTTTTTAAATTTTAATTTCTTAGAATTCTAAAATCTTTTGGCTCTAAAAGAAATCAAACTATTAATGTATTCAATTTGTTAAGTCTATTTTATTAGGAAATTGAATTAGTTCTGGTCCTTAGCAATAGATGGCTTTAGTAACAAGTGAGTGATTAATACGAATGTTGAAATCTGGCAACACTGAAAGATTTGACATTTCTCTATGATGACATATGACAGTTTGTGCACCATTGTTACTGAGTTTCATTATTTATACGCGTTTAAAATCGTACAAAATTGGATCGTACAAAATTGCATTCTTGATGTTCATTACTTTTTTATTTTATTTGAAAAAATTGGCAACTGAAGCTCATGAAATGTTTGTTACAACTTATGGTGATCAAGCTCCATCATATTCCAACTGTAAATTTTGGTTTTAGCAATTCAAAAATGGTGATTTTTATTTGAGTGACAAAGAACGTATTGGTCAACCAAAAAAAATCGGAGATTCTGAATTACAAGTATTATTGAATGAAAACACTGCTTAAACGGAAAAACAATTGACTGAACAACTCAACGTTAATAAATCAACAATTTCTAAATGCCTACACGCCATGGGACAAATTGGAAAGCTCCACATGAACTGAATAAAAGTGCCATTGTAAATCGTTTGAATATCACCATGTCTTTGCTTGTTAGACGGATAAAAAGAGCTTTATTGTAGCCAATTGTAACTGGAGATGAAAAGTGGATTTATTTTGATAATCCAAAGCGAAAAAGATCATGGGTTGATCTAGGACAACCATCAACTTCGTCATCAAAACGCTACATATACAGTCACAAAGCAATGTTCTGGATTTTGTGGGATATGGAAGATATGGTATACTATGAGCTTCTAAAACCGAATGAAACAGTTACAGGAGAGCGATACCTGCAACAATTGGATAAATTGAATGATGAATTGATGCAGAAAAGGCCAACGATAGCCAGCAACAGACGCAAAGCGATTCTTTTGCATAATGCTCGTCCGCATGTTGCTTCATTCATTAAATAAACATTGTTAGGGCTCGAATGGGGAATTCTCTCGCACCCAGCGTACTCTCCAGACCTAGCACCATCTGGTTACCATTTATTCCGATCAATGTAACACGCTTTGGCAGATACACTTTTTAATAATTACGAGGATGTGCAAAAATGGGTGTCTGATTGGATTGCTTCGAAAGACAGTTTTATCGTCGTGGACTCGCTATGTTGCCAGAAAAATGGGGAAAGGTCACAGCTAATGACGAAAAATATTTTGATTAATGTAAATTTAACCATTTCTTTAAAATAAAAATATTGACAAAATTAGAATAGAATTAATTCAACCTCCTAATAGGATCGAGTCGAATGTTTTCTTTTCCTCATATTTATAATTTAAACGGGAAGAATAAAAAACACATATCTCAACACAACTTGGAATCAGCAAATTCAATAAATTACATTTCTACTGTTTATCCTTGAGACATCTTTCAGAAAATTTTGTCGTCTGGGTTCTTACTATGCTATTTGAGATTAGCGGATATGCAGTGGACATTTATGGAAGATTTATATTTTATTACAGTACTTAATATTCCGAAATTGCTTCTAATTTTACACAATAATTAATAAAGTCAAATATACACTTCAAATTTTCATTTAAGACGTCTACAATAACACAACTAAATATCCTCTTTATATATATTAGGATTATTTTAGGAGGAATATTTTCGGATTATTTTGAATTTTTCTAGGATATCCTGGGAAATTTCCAAAATATGGAAATATTTTGACAGTATTCTAGAATATCCTAGACATATTCAGGATTATCCTAATTAAAGACATCTTGTGCTGTTTGGGTTGTCATATTAGCTCAAATTATTAGATGACCAAAAAAATTTATGCGGCTTTTGTTTGCTATGAATTGTCGAATCTCGTTGTGACTTATCGTGCGCGTGAGTTTATGCGTATTACATAGCATAAATTTGTCTCAGTTAATTGGTGAACTTTGTCGTGGCATAGTCTCTTCGTTTGTGATATTCATCCTTTTGAAATGACTGTTGAATTAAGTACAATTCGAGCATGTTTGCTTTATAAATTTAAACTCGAGTCAAAAGCTGCAGAAGCATGTCGTAAGATATGCGTAGCATTTGGAGAAAATGCGCTAAAAGAACGGACTGCACCGAAGTGGTTTAAAAAATTTTCTTTCGGCGATGAATCACTCGAGGATGCACCATGTTCAGGAAAATCCCCCGTTATTGATAACGAAAAGTTATCAGTCATTTATTCACATATTAATTATAATATTTATTCACACATGTCAGTTGTAACATTTTTCTGAACATTTCTACTCTTGCTCAATTTTTAATATATAAAATCGCACGAAACTTTTTGGTTACCTAATATTTATCTGTTAATCAATCGCTGAAGAGGACCCGAATATTGAAACGCTGAAACGTTCGTAAAAATTCTACACGCAAAGAGCCTCTTCCTTTCATTATTCGCTCTCGGGCTTCTGCTTCGATTCTCACTCGCCTTCTTCAACTGCGCATCTCATGAAAGACTCACCTTGTCACCTTTCTCCCCCTTGTGTCCATGGTGTTCTGCGTCGTGCTCGCTGCCTTCGCCCGCCTCGAATTTGTGATCTCCACCGTGCTTCTTCCCATCGTGATGCTCCTCATGTTTGTGCGCGTGCTCCTGAGTCTCGCCGTGCACATGATCATGCTCTTCCTCCTCGTTCCCGTGACCCTGGCTCTTGTTGTTCTCGTGCCTAGGGTCACGATAAACGTCCTTGACGCGTCCTTGTCGCTGCTGATATTCTGCGCGGACGTGCGGAGGATTGGTCTCCTGGTACTCCTGCCTGTACTGCGCTTGGCGATGAGAATCAGCCTGCGGGCTGGCCAAATGACCGCGATACGTGTTATCGTCATTGTGGTTCCACTTCCTCTGGTACTTGGCTCGCTGGCGAGCGCGCTGGTCCTTGGCGCGGCGAGTGACCGACGTGTCCTCGGTAGCGGCACCCTCGTCTTCGTGCTTCTCGTGCTCGCGATCCCGATTCCGCTTTTTCTTGCCGTAGCGGGAGTCTCGTGCCGCTTCCTGCTGGCGACTAGCGGTGAGCCTGCGGTTGAAACCAACATCGACAGCCTGGTGATCGTAGTCCTTGGAAGCACCGTAACGTTGCTGCTTCCTACGTTGCTCCTTCTCGTCCGCGTCTCGATCGTACTTGAGCTTGTCATATCGGTAATGACCGTCGCCATCTTCGTCCTCGCTTCCTCGGCCGCCTTCCTCGACGTGCTCGCCCTCTAGCGCCTCACCGGCGTCTGCCTCGTCACGGGCGTTCCCGGCTCCGCCGCCATCGTCGTCGTCGTCGTCGTCATCGTCGTCGTCGTAAAGCCCACGTGGCTGTTTGTCCTGGCGCTCTTCGTCATCGCGACTCCGCGGGCGGTAAGGATCTTCGTCGTGTCGAACCTCATGAGCAACCGCCGACGGCGCCTTCGCGATCTCGCCGGCTTCGTAATTAACCCCGCGATTAACCTGACTTCGGTAGCTCCCGGAGGCGCTCTTATCGTCGATCGCGGCTCCCTCTCCCTCGTCCTCGTCCCCGTCCTCGACTCGAGACCGCTCGCTCGTCCCGACATTTCCTTCGCCGAGTTGCCCCCCGGTTGCACGCTGCGGCAGCAATAAGCTGCTGTCATAGTATGGCGCGATCGGCCGGGTCAACGCAGGCGAAACAGGCTTCAAGGGCCTCAGAGTGACGTAGGGGAGAGAAGAAGCCTGTACAGGCAACGCCGGTTGCTTGAAGTTCCCGTAGTCCTGAGCGACCGCCTTCGGTCGCTGCACGTGCAGCACGTTGGCCACGTCGGCGTTGGGCGTGTTCGAATACAAGTCCGCGAACTTGTTGTACAGCGCGTCGCCGGGCTTCGAGTTCGGCTCCGACTGGCCGCCGTCGTACACGAGTTCAGATGCCAAATTCGTCTTCGGGGTGACGTCCTGTGACGGCTCCAGCCGTCGTTGGAGGATGTGGACTGTGGGAGCGGGCGATTGAGCGGGGAAGATCGTCGTGGTGGCCGCGACGGTCCTCCTCTCCGTGGGCTTCTCCGTGATGACGTAATACCCCGGACTCTGGCGGCTGTTAGCAGACACCACCGCGGGGCTCTTCGTGGCGCCGATCACGGCTGCGTATGGCGCTGGGGAGCTCGTGGCCGGGGAGTTGGTGAAGAGGGCCGTGGCTGCCACGTGGAAGCCATCCGGGGGGTTGAAGTCGCGATTCGCACGCTTTATCGGGACGTAGCGGCGCGCTGGAGGCATGCTGAAGAGGTCCGTCGGGAGGATCAATGGCAGGGCAATGCTGGTGGGCTGGACAGCCTGGTGCGAGCTCGCGGCTGCCGGAGAAGAGCTCGACTTCCTGTACGTGGCGATCTTCGTGGTGGGATCAGCTGCGTTGAGTAACTGCGCGGCCTCAGTCACGGTTATGGAGAACGGCCTGGGCACTTTGCTATGCTTCAGTGGTGAGTGGAGACTGTTGAAGTTACTCTGGAGGCCCAGCTGCTTCTTGTTCGAGTTGAAGACGTGATTGGTGGATGGCTGTACGAATGGAGACGGCGAGACCTGGGAGAAAGAGGCTTCCGCGTTCCACCCGCGACGATTCCCCGGATTTTCCGGCAGATCGACGGCAATGCTCGACGGCGATTCAGTCGATGAGCCGTTCTTCAGCTTTGGCTTCCAGGTCGCTGCGTGAAGATGTTCCTTGGAGGATTCGGTGATATCAGCAGTCCCTTCGTCGAATCTTGATTCCGCCTGCAGCGGGACTCGCGGAGAGATATTTGGTTGCATGTACTTTTGGAGTAACAATTTCTTCTTCTTTGACGCAGACAGGGTGTGTGGAGAATCGATGGTAGCGGAGAGCGACGGCCTGTCCGTTTCGCCGCCAGCCACCAACGTGCGAGTCGTCACTTCCGCTGTGGGAATTCGTCTCAGATTCTTCATCGATTGGGACAGGTACGAAGTCAACGATACACCGGCGTTTCTCGCTGCCAATTGGGGTATTCCGCGAGATATATTCCGCAGTACTTCGTGGTAAGTGCTCTCGAGATCCGTCGTGGGTCCGCTTGTTGTTGACTTTGCGACCTTGCTGTCGCTTGTCTTCCGTGTATCTAGAGAACAAACGCGCAACAACGTGACTCCTCGAGCCGCGTGGGAGGTCTCTTGGGATCTGATTAGGATTTAGCCCGGTTAATCCACGCAGATCTTCCACTTGGAAATATAATTGCTTAAAAGGCGATGTTACATGTGAGAAAGCCAAAGTTTATCCAATACTTTTTTTTGCTAGTCTTCGTCTTGTATTAGAATTTCATTTTCCTTTCCATTTCTTATTCTAACGCTAATGCTGTAACTGACATATAAATATCTGGCATCCTTGATTGATAACATCAAAGTAACAGCTGTTACCGACTGAGAAAAAAGCGCCCATTTCTGTCTCGATTCTCAGCTGAGAAACCACGTGTGTGATAAGAATATTAGGATTTCCAATTGAGACAAGCAAAATTCTAAGGGCGCATTCATACCTTGTAAAGGTAAAAATGCAGAAAGCAGAACAGCAGAAGCCAAGAGAGTGACAGAGAGAAAAATTCTCGCAAGAGAGAGACGGACTATCAGCGCGAGTTCTGATTGGCTGCTGCCTTCCTGCTTTCTGCTTTTCTACCCAGGTGTGAATCCTCCTTAAGACAAATTTGGGAATTTTAATCGGAATCTCTCAATGCTGAACCTGGGAAAGTCTTGAGAAATTTCGACGGGTGCTTCCGGTACCTTCGATGGGAGAAAGATGCGGCGGGGCAGGGAGGGGGAGGGAGAGAAGTAATCTCGCTGTTCATTTACCATGAACGTCGACGGGCGCGTCTGTAATTTTTCTCTTGGCTATCCTCGAGGCGATTCTCTGCGGCTCGTACTTCGCCACGACGCGCTTCAGTTTCTCCAGCTCGTCCTCGTCCTCCTCGACGCGGACGACCGTCGTAGCCTGTGACTCGCCCACGTCCTGATCTGAAAGCAAACTTCGTTTGTGCGCCTCGCGCTTCGACAGAAGAGCGAGGATCTCGCGACCGAGCTTCGAGGGCTCCTCCGCCAGCGCGTTCGCGGTTATCCGGGTATTGTTACCGCTCCCGCTGATGATCACCTCCTCCAGGATAATTTCGTCGGGAGTTGTGCGCTTGACGTCCGGAAATTTTGTTACCGTGTCTGCGACGCCCGCTCGTAGCGTTAACTGTAAATATTGATTAACTATTGATGTACGTATTAATCGTTAATATTAATTGGTGACTTCATCGGCGTAAATGTGTAAGTCGCTTATGTCGAACGAGCGAATGTTAATCCAGCCGACGAGAGAGAGAGAGAGAGAGAGAGAGAGAGAGAGAGAGAGAGAGAGAGAGAGAGAGAGAGAGGGAGAGAACGACTCGCGAATTTCAAGGCAACGAGATGAATTTCGCTTCGTGTGCTTCGCGTGCGAGTAGCGACAGTTCGATGACTCTCCATGTTATTTCGTATTTATTTACCGGCACGCTGAAAGCAGGGAAAGCGGTGGAGAGAGAGAGAGAGAGAGAGAGAGAGAGAGAGAGAGAGAGAGAGAGAGAGAGAGAGAGAGAGGGAGAGAGAAAGAGAGAGAGGTAGAGGAGATAAGCGGACGATATAATTATTTGTACAAATTAGACGAAATATATTATACGCGATTAAATACGACATGTCTATTAATTAGATTAATATCAATACCGAGACAAGATCCCGTGTAATATTTCACGATAATCAGCATCGCGTTCCACGCGGCTGCTACCCACTGCCGGCTTTAATTAAAAGTTAACACAAACACGCGTCAGCCTTTTGTCCGCCGTAGCACTCACATCCGCACATTCGTTCGTTTTCGTTCTCGCGGACAAGGGCGCGTATCGCTGCGAGATGTGCACCCTACGTCGGCAATTAATTCAGTTTATTACGCACGATCGCTGTCAATTTTCCTAACCGACTCTTCGCGTGGTTCTCCTCTCGCGTGGTCTTCCTTCCCTTTTCTTTTTTTTTCTTCTCTCTCTCTCTCTCTCTCTCTCTCTCTCTCTCTCAGGGTATCTCGCGACGTCGGGGTATTACCAGATGGAGCAACAGCAGCGGCGCCATAGCGACCGGCCTCCGCAGGTGGGTCTTCATGTTTCGCCGGGTCGGAGCGACGGAGACTGAGCCGCGGTGCCGCCGCGGCCGGGCAATTATATTATCGCGTCGTTTCCTCTGTCTGGAAAAGCAGCTCGCGAATGATATGACAGTTTCACAGGCGGGCAGCCACCTCGTGGTAGCGTCAGCAGGAGCCGGGGCGAAATCGATGGTCCTGCATCGATCGCTCCTGCCGATTCGGCTTCCTCCTTTCTCTGTCGGTTGCACAAGAGATCGTCGCTCGGCCGGAGCCGATCCGTAAGCATCGCTCGATCTCTCATTATTCAGTCTATTATTAACGCCCCCTCCCCCTCCCGCTCGCCCTCCCGCCGCTCCCTTGCGCAACGCGCGACGCGCTTTTTGTCGAACTGTCGGGCTATCGTAACACGCGGAAAGCGATGTTGAACTTGCGTGATGTCCGGCGGTATGCGAGATGCTGCGCTATTACCGTATTTGTTCGCTCGCATTTTCTTCTCCCGCCGCTTCCATCGCCGCTTCCAGCGGCGCGGTCTCTCCACTGGAGCACGCTGAGGGGGAGAAAAAAGTGCCGGAGTCCGAGTGACTTCACTGTTGAACGAAGAAACTTCCAAGCTGACCAATCGTCCGGTCGATCGGACAAATTGTACAACTGCTACGACGAGTCATTAAACTAATGCCCCATGTTAAAATATACGAGTACACGTGCACATTTTCGGTTTTAACTCGAGCATTGCCGGCAAAGATGCAACAAACACGGCTGTGAGTAGAAATTCGCCACGAAATCTCACAGGAAAAAAGATCTCGTCATACACAAGTGGAACAGATATTAGAAAGTTAAATTAATTCTGTTCTTATTTTGTCAGTGTTTTTATCTTCATTTTAAATAAATGATTAAATTTACATCAATCAAAATATTTTCCGTCGTTAGCTGGGACTTTTTCCCATCTTTCTGGCAACGAACGTAGCGATTCCGCGACGATAGAACGATCTGTTCTTCGAAGCAATCTAGATATCCATTTTTGCACGTTTGCACGTAATTATTGAAGTGTGTATATGCCAAAGCAGGATGCATCGATCGGAATAGATGGTAATCAGATAGTGCTAGGTCTGGAGAGTACGCTGGGTACGAAGAGATTTCCCATTCGAGCTCTAATAATGTTTGTTTAATAATTGAAACAACATGTGGACGAGCAAAAGCATTATCGTGCGAAAGAATCTTTTTGCGTCTATTGGCTATCGCTGGTCCTTCCTGCATCAATTCATCATTTAATTTATTCAATTGTTGCTGGCATCGCTGTCCCGTAACGGTTTCATTCAGTTTTAGAAACTCATAGTACACCACACCTTCTATATCCCACCAAATACAGAACTTTGTAACCGTAACCGTTCTGTTTTGGTGTTGATGTTGGTAGTTGTCCTAGATCAACTCGTGATTTTTTTCGCTTTGGATTATCGAAATAAATCTATTTTTCACCTCTGGTTATAATTCGCCACAAAAAACTTTGTTTTCGGTTTGGTAAGCAAAGACATGGCAATATTCAAACGATTTGCAATGACACTTTCACTCAATTCATGTGGAATCCATTTGCCTTCCTTTTGAATTTTCCCCATGACGTATAGACGTTTAGAAATTGTTGATTTACCGACGTTGAGTTGTTCAGCCAATTGTTTCTCCGTTTGAGCGGTGTTTTCATTCGATAATGCTTACAATTCAGAATCTTCGAGTTGACCAATATGTTCTTTATCACCCAAATTGTAATCACCACTTTTGAATCATTGAAACCAAAATTTACAGTTGGAATACGATGGAACTTAATCACTATAAGTTATAGTAAGCATTTCATGAGTTTCAATTGCCGATTTTTTCAAATCAAACGAAAAAAATAATGAATGTCGAAAATGCAATTTTATACGATCCATTTTAGGAGCGTATAAACAATGAAACTATCAGTAACAACAGCGCGCAAACTGTCATATGTCATAGAGAAATGTCAAATCTTTCAGTGTTGCCTGCATTTTAATATTCCTACTAACCATTAACTTGTTACTAAAGCCATCTATTGCTAGGGACCAGAACGAACTCAACCTTCTAATAACATTTGTGTCAAATTTCTCTCCAAATTAAATAATTTTCCTCTGATTTTTACAAATTTGTTGATAAAAGGATAACTGATTTAGTAATGCTGGATTTAGCCTTTTGAATTAGACGACGAGAATTCTACGTTAAAAATTATTGTCGAATTTTGTAGCCAAGAAACGTTCTGCCTTTATTATTCTTCCATCGCATATGTGCTATTCATATTTTAGGAACCGTGGTCCGTTGATAAAAATGTTACTATGCTACTGAGCAAAAAATAAACAAGATGAACCGACAGTCTATGCCTGCATTACCAGAAAACATGATAAAATCGAGAAGAATTTAATTTAATTTAATTTAATTTAATTTAATTTAATTTTTTTATTCTCGATGATTGCGATTTCGACTGCGACAGCGTGTCAACGCAATGTACCATTTCGTCAACGCAATATAATTTGTGTTCAGCGGACACAATATTTCTTCTAACGAGAGTTACCGATTTTTCCCGTTCAACCGCTCTTTTCTTGCTCCCAGTGCGGCATTTACACGCATAGGCGCATACTAATCTTGCAATTGCATCAGACTATTTACTTAAAGCACGTCCGAAAAATGCATAACCGCCCATACTCGCGCGGAGCGCGTGGCTGTGGGGGGAAGGGGGGGGAATTATTACTTCGCGAGATATCGATCGATAGAAATCGAGCTACCTCGCGAACAAGTCCGTCCGCGGTGAGTGGTGGATTTTACGTTTTCGTGCGTAGCCATAACGTTCACCGCTTCATCATAACTTCTCTGCTTCTCGTTAATGATGCGCGACGCCGAATTTATTGAAAATTTCGCACGCTCTTGCCCACCGCACACCGCGACTCCGATGTGCGGATCGCGCGGCGCGAAACACGAGATCCGCCACGGTTCTCGGCGTCACGTAGATTATTACTTCGAATCGAACGGAGTGAATTGCAGGCGGTGCGAGCAGCGATAGGATGCGATCGAAAGAATTAACCGCAAGCCATTATCTTGCATCGACATAACGATGGAACGGACTTGTATTTCCTTCCTTGTTCCCCGCGATGTTTTCATCAATCTTAAGAGAACCGAACGAGTTCACACGTTTTCACGTTCCTTCCCTTTCATCTCGTTTTGTAATGTTTGATAAAACATAATGACTATATATGAATTTCTTCTCCATATGATCATATATAAACATACATAATAATACAGGGTATCCCAAGTTTTAACGGCCAAACTGCGTTAGCATGTTCTATGGAAAAATGCGGAAAGAACACGTTATACAAGGTGTCCGGGATCTTTTGGAATTTCTTTCGGAATCTTTTGGAAACGAAAAATTATGAAGATTAATCAGATCAAACCGAGAAAAAAAGTCTTTTACTATTTTGCAAATAAGTACATAAATTTTCAAGTTATCAATTTAAAGAGCTTCTGGATATGGTCATTTTCAATCATTGCACTGAGAAAAAATTGTATTAAAATTAAACAAATTTTTGTTCGAATACGAACATCTAAATACATTTATTTAAATTAAGCAATTATTTTCTAAAATTAAAGAAAAAAGTTCACATTTAGAACATCTATATTTCATTTTAGAAATTAGTCGCTTAATTTGAATAAATTTATTCACAGTCGTATTCGAACAAAAATTTGTTTCATTTTAATACAATTTTTCCTCAGTGTAATAATTTAGTAACTATTGCGATTTTTATAAAATGATACTTGACTTTTCTTCTCAGTTTGATCTGATTGAATTTTCACAATTTTTCATTTCCAAAAGATTCCGAACACCCTATATATATACATATATATATATTTACGAGAGGAAATATTTTTAATTTTCTTTATTTTTGTAACTTTTTTGTCATAACTTTTTAATAAAGCTTCTACAGATATATATATATATATATATATATATATATATTAGCTTTATTAAAAAGTTATGACAAAAAAGTTACAAACCGAACGAGTTCATACGTTTTCACGTTCCTTCCCTTTCATCTCGTTTTGTAATATTTGATAAAACATAATGTTACAAAAATAAAGAAAATTAAAAACATTTCCTCTCGTAAATGTTGCTTTATCAGTCCATTGAATTGTTTATGTAACAAGAGGTAACACGTCGAGACTTAAATAATCATTCAGAGAATTAATTCGCGGAAAAATTAATTCAAAGAATTAATATTGCATTTGCTAAGATAAAACAGAATCAATGTGAGATTCCTATGGCGATTATAATAATTCCATTTTTCCACTGTGTTAATCGTATCGAATGTATCGTATTAAGTGTATCAAATATAAAAACGGCTAAGATTTAAAAATGGAATATTAATAAAATAATAATAATAAAATTGCTGATAATAAGAGCAGATTTCTTTCATTCGCCTCACATTTCAGTTCTTTTTTCTTATTTTTATATATAGAACACACTGGTGCAATTTAGTCGTTAAAACCTGAGACGCCTCTTATATACCCACGCAGAAAACAATATTGTTGTACAAATATAATTAAAATAACTGCTTATGTTTATGGCAGGCCATAATGTAGACGTGTAATTGGACATGAAACATGATCTTTCCTTTATTTAACAGTTTTCTTCAATGTGGACATATGTTTTCGTAAAGCCATGTATATACATGGCTTTACGAAAACAAAAATTATATATGAATTATATATAATAACATATAATTTATATATAATTTTTCTTGATTAGGAATAGAGATTTTGAAGACTCAATTAATTTAGATTTTACCTTGTGTATACAGGTTTTAATAAAGCCTTCTCACGGAAAATTATCATATTTAAATTCCGTTTTTACGTCTCTATATATAGAGTGTCCCCTATTTTAATTTACCCTCTCCAAAATCTTTCTTATCTTTGATTGTAAGAAAAAATGCTTCTGGCAAAAGTTACTTGATTCGAAGAGAAACATGATTCCAATATGAGTTATATCGTAGATGTCGCCATTTTCAAGAAGTTTCAAAGACGAGAGTTTCAAAGACTAATTTCTTAAGCGGAATTTGATTTTTGCCTTCGATTAAAACTTACAGACCTCGTCGAAACCGTTTTTAAAATACTCCCGAATATTTTGCGTAACCATT